TTTTTTTGTTTGCCGGCAAGTTGGGAGGAGAGATCAATGTATTCAAGGTGTGCGAATGTTTTACGCTTCAAATTGGAAATATTGTAGTTAATACCTTTCGCTGCTGACGCGCTACGAAACAATGCTTAATTCTACTAAAGTTAAGAACAAATGCAAAATTTTAATCGGATGACTAAAATCGCCGGTGGTATAATCATCGTTGGTGCCCAATGAATTAGTTAGTCGTTCGGTGAATACAGTCAGAATGAGCGTCAGACGTTGGGTGAGACTATAGTCATCGTTGGTAGCGAATAGATTAATGGCCAAAAATATACTTTCCGAATCTGTCGTTCTAAATCTCCGGCTATCGCAACTATTGCGTCGCGTAAATTGGGAATACGGAGCGGACAGGATCGGAAGGAGGGACGGCGAGGGACACGCGTGCTGGCGAGCGGTAGAAAGACGACGACAGGGAGGACGCAACACTTCCGGCACGCAATATCATTCGGCAACGAGGCAAACTGTAATTCCCACTTGCTTGGTCTTCGAAGCTAGCGAGCTAGCAGAAGCCGCGTTTGTTGATTATCCGACCGGTAAACAGGGCGCATTGTTATCGATTGGGCCAACAATCTGCCACCTCCAGCCCCCTCCTGCCCCCCTCGCCCATATTGACGCAATACTGCCTCGCACTTGCATAATGAATGGTTGGCTAATGACCCTACGGAGGTTGCGGAAACCGCAACCAGAGGATGGCAGGCTCGGGACTCGAAGCACTTCCGGCATCAAACATGCACCGCTCGCGGATCCTCGGAATCCACGAGGTCTCCGCTCGATCTCTCTCTCTCCCCTTCTCTCTCTCTCTCTCTCTCTCTCTGCTTCGTATCGTTTCCACTCCGTTCCGTAATAGGAACGCGGAGGTCGACTTTAATTCTTCATTAACCAAGCGCCAACAGAGAGCATCGTACCGTGGCCAGATATCCAACTGGCTGGATATCCGCCACGCGATACCGTTCGTAAATTTATTAAGCTCCGTTGGAAATTTAACCAGGATAATTTGTTGCCCGAAACGAAACAGAGATTTGTAGATTTGCCAACTTGGATCTGTCGAGTCTCGTTTCCACTCGGACTCCGCGCAGTTGATACGACTGAGTCCTTTCCACGTTGTCATCTTCCACGACTGTCCGCGTCTTGAAACGATCTATGTATTAGTGTGTGTTCGTTGGTAATATAAATTGGAACATTTCCTCTCACGAATGACAGCTTTCGACGCTATTTTGCATAATTCGATCTCTTTTTATTTTCAGCTTCGCCGAGCACGCAGACTCCAACAAACAGATTCTGACTACCAGTCTGACGTGTCACTGTAAGTGTATATATTTTATTCATATCGCGTAACGATTAGTCTTCGGTTATACGTTGAAATTATAACGCAACGTGTTGTAACTTTAACGTAGAATGCATACACAAATAGAATGCGAATTTTACGCCTCTCGAGATCAGAGAGGAACGTAATCACAGAGGACGCTAGCCATTCAACGTTAATTTCAATTGTCCAACGCTTAAAACAGAACTCCGTGCGCGAACCCTTCTTCAACCGTTTAAAGTCCAATGACTATTGACGATGGTATAAAGCTACAGGTACGAAGAATCCGCTTCATCCGAGGCTTGGCTTAAATTACCATCGAGTACTTGGTTAAATATCGTCCGCGACATAGTTGAAATTAGAGTTAGAAAATTATATTGGGCATCTCATGAGATGTTCGAGTACCCAGGTACGAGATAATAGAGTTGTCACTACTCGGACAATCGATACAATTTTATCCGATATCGAATAATTTTTGTCTTTTGTGATAAATGATAAAACAGGTTATAATTTGTGGTGGAAAATCCGAGTAAAAACATATCTAGCATTGGCAAAACTTGTTAAAAAATATTTGCCAGCTGTGGAAGAGTATTTTTCACAACTGGAAAAAAAAATTGTTAATTTAACCCTTTCGCTACCATGCCAGAAGTGTATACATTGATCGAATCATTCTCCGAGTTTATTAACCCGTCTTGAAATGGAATCATTTTAGAATTTCGACAAAGGCGTAGGATGCTTATTGTAAACGAACTTTAGTTTTTCAAACAGAAATCTAACCTAGAACTGAACCCTAGCTAAAACCTAACCTAACTAAAAATCTAACCTAAAACCTAACCTCTAATTTAAATTTTTGGGAGATTAATGGTTATATGATACCTGTAGCCAGAAGCAAGATCTTTTATTGAAATAATTTCTTATCGTAGAAATATTCCAGTGTCATAAAAAAAAAATGAAAAAAATTCGTCTTGATGGTTAAAGTATATTATCACAGATAAAGTATAAGGATCGTAGAACTCCTTTATTATTTTCCTGTCGTACCGATTCAGGCAGGTTTTACACCGCAGCCCTACTAGTGACGAGAATTAAAATAAAAAAACATGGACAGTGTTGCCAGATCTGTTTCAGAACATGGGACACAAAATGCCATAAATTTTCTCTATTCCTATATCTCGTCTGTGGCATTATGCATGTCCAAAGTGTATTTTTATTATGTGACTACTCCAATACGTCAGTAGCTACCACGGCACTCGCAATATTTAAGGCGAACCTTGCTACTGAAAAATCTAGACTTATTAGCATTTTTATACAAATAATTACTTCGTTATTTCATTATTTGTCACTAAGAAATTACATTGTAAACATCCGAGTAATACGAATGGATATAACAGGTGTAGTTTTGACTCTATTTACGCATCAGGGTGTCTCACGTAGTAACAACTTTGATATTCGAGAAGAAAAGAGACCGAGACGCGAGACTCCGTCTTCGCCAAAGCACTGAAAACTCGCCCGACTTTTATTTTTTGCTTTTCGTCGCCGGTTGGCCAACATCGCGCAACTTTGCCCGTTTAATACGTTCGTGGGGCCGATTCTTTCTCGTCCGCGGCTTTCCGTCACTTTCGCGGTTTCGCCGCGTCTTTGAAAACAAACCGCGAAGACAGCGAAGACAACTTTTCCGCGTGGCGAGTCTCGTTTCCTCGTTGAGCCTTCCGAGGGTCGGCACACGCAATAACGACTCTAATCTCCTTACGTCGCGTCACGGACGCTGTTTTTCCCGCGTACCTACCTCGCGAACCCGAAGCGCTTACGCCGTTGACCAGTCGGCTATAAGGGACTTACAATTTACTTGCGCGTAAGAGGCTTTGCGCGGCGCACCGCGCGTAAAACGCCGCAACTTTACTCAACGTTCGTCGTCCCCGCTTTTGCATTCTCGCGTCAAGTAGAGACGCGAGACACCGATGCGGTCGGCCAAAGTAGCACCGGGCTTTCGACTTTTCGGAGCGAGATCGCGTCGTTAAAACGGGGGAAACGGTTGCTTTTTCTCGGTTGCGAAGGGTCGAAAGGTCGAATATATACCGCGTCCTCCGATCCGGACGGGAGTGACGTTTTTACGCGTCTTGGGAAACGAGCATCTCTCTCGTTTCCAAGCGACCCGTAATTTCTTTCGGATTGTCCGCAGGTAATTCTCTGACCTTTGATTTCAGCCACGGGGTAGCTGAGTGATTAATACTATCAAGGGAACATCGTCGAAGTGTGAATCACCGATTTTGACGAAATTTGGCGAAAATGTAGTTTTCAAAAAAGTATTTTCTAACATAGTTTGTCAGATATCTCGGAAATTGTTAAAAGGCACAGCTTTTGTGTAAATTAATATAATTGTTTCTTTCTTAACAACGAATTCAATAGCGTACCATTGTCAATGCCATTTTGCGAAACAACATATTTAGAAAACCTGTTTATAAGTTATTCCAAGTAAATGTTGAAAAATTTTCTTGAACATTCGTTGATGAAAACTACATATTCAAATTGCGGATAAAATGAGATCTTGATTTTTATATTATAAGAAAATTCATTATTTTCAAATCTTTCTCGCTGGACGTGCAAAACAGGATGTATACTAAAATTGTTCTCTTTTCGTATAAATATATTTCAGTTCTTGAAATAGTCGTTTTCATTCCTCAGTACTTGTAAATTTACTGACAGTTTTGTACACCTATCTCTACAAACAACCGTCAAATTGACGGATAAAAGAAATACTTTAAGTATTTTCCTTAAAAAAAACAAATTGACGGATAAAAGAAATACTTTAAGTATTTTCCTTAAAAAAAAAAAATGATTAATTTAATATAGAAACAATTTAGTTACGCAATTTATTTACTAGTACAATAGCAACTGGCTTAATTAACTTACACAAACCTTCACTATGCATGCACATTTATTCGGCGCATTTTTTGCAGACGCATTCCATTTTGTGTATATATTTCCCGCAAATGTTCTTTTTACACGAATTCTCGCTGTTTCGTGCTGTCGCTCGACGACGCTCTGTGCCATGAACGGCTAAAGAGTTTTGACATTTAAGGCTTGTTCAGATTAGTCGAATTAATCGGCAGGAAATGGAGTGATCTAACTAATAAAAAGGATAAAATCTCTTCTCGCTAATCTCGAGAACATATTTATCTCCGTGAACGAATAAAATCGACGTATCTTTTTTGCTTCTTCGACCAAGTTGGAACATAAATTAACATTTCATTGTTCAGAATTATATCCGATTCGATTTCATCGTACAATTAAATATGCACAAAATAAACGACATTCTTATCTCGCCGAGTTGCCAGATCTGCAAATATCAATTGAACATTCACCCAGATAGCTTCCTGCCGATACATTTAAATTTACCGCGTAGAAATTTATTTCTAACGAAAGGAAGTTTCACGAAGTTTCTACTTATGTACTTATACGTTGCACGTTTCAAAATCTTTCGTTCAATTTTTTTTCTTTTTTTTCTTCTATCGAACTCTCGACGTTAAAAAACTTTCTCTTTAACTTTCTGTAGCTTTTTCTCTCCCTTTCTCTCTTCCTCTCGACTCAATTAAATATTACGACCCGTTTGAATCCATTTGTAACGAAAGGCAATCAGTCACGGAATAATGGACGAAACGTGTGCTCGAATTTTTATATACCGACTGTTTCGCGTGAAATATGTATTTCTGTTGTTAACTTGTTTAAAACCGAAACTTTTGCCGGCGGAATTTTTTTATCATGGAATTTTTTAAACGATACAGAAATATTTCAACTGACTGCGTAATTTAATTAATTACACACTGTTTCAAAATTCTTTGACAAACGAAACGAAGATGTTTCAACTGAAAAAAAAAATTTTTTTTCGAACATCTTCTCCTTAGGGTAAAAATCTGCCCTTCGATTAATTGTAAGTGGTTGACTTTGCATCCTCTCAATCGAATGACTTTTATTCTCGTGTTTCGTTTGCGTGGTCATCTTTTAGCGGCTCGAGTCGGTGTCGTCGAGGTTGCCGCCGCGTAATGAGCACTTCCGGTTCACCCGCGCGCCAATGCTTCTTGAACTTTAAATTACTCGAGCTCGATGGCTCTTTGCCGGTGAAAAAAGTTCGTCAAAAGTACGGCGCGAGCTTAAGCGTCGTCATTTAAGTTACAAATTTTGGAATTTCCCGGCTAATAGCGGTACACGTTGAATTAACAAAAAATGTTCCGTGGAATACGCGTCTCAGCGAAAACGTTCTGTCGTGAGAAACTGCGTTTTTTGTTGAAAGTCAAATCGTTTACCGAATCGATTTCTGGAAATGTGAATAGGTATATGGACGCGTGCTTTTTTTATAATTTCAGATTTTTTATAATTGAATATAAAATATAGATTCAGTATAGTTAGATATTTATAACTTTAGATTTTTTGTAATTAAATATAAAATATAGTTAGATTAAATATAGTTAAATATTTATAATTTCAGATTTTTTATAATTAAGTATAAAATATAGTTAGAGTCAATACAGTTAGATATTTATATTTTTAGATTTTTTATAATTAAGTATAAAATAGAGTTAGATTTAATATAGTTAGATATTTACAATCTTAGATCATCTATAATTAAATATAAAATATAATTAGATTCAATATAATTAGATATTTATAATTTTAGATCTTCTGTAATTAAATATAAAATATAGTTAGATTGAATATAGTTAGATATTTATAATTTTAGATTTTTTGTAATTAAGTATAAAATATAGTTAGATTCAATATAGTTAGATATTTATAATTTTAGATCTTTTGTAATTAAATATAAAATATAGTTAGATTGAATATAGTTAGATATTTATAATTTTAGATTTTTTGTAATTAAGTATAAAATATAGTTAGATTCAATATAGTTAGATATTTATAATTTTAGATCTTTTGTAATTAAATATAAAATATAGTTAGATTGAATATAGTTAGATATTTATAATTTTAGATTTTTTGTAATTAAG